AGAGAGAGAGAGAGAGAGAGAGAGAGAGAGAGAGAGAGAGAGAGAGAGAGAGAGAGAGATTTCAGTGATCATATCAACCTGCTGGCTTAATAAACAGTTCTTTTGGATCCCTGCACTGATCTGGCCCCAGCATTATTGAGGGAAAGGTGGAACAGTGCATTTAACGTGCAGTTAGCATTCTTATCACGCTGGGGTTCCTTGCACCAGAGCCTTTCAGAGGTAGCTGTCTGACAGGTCAGGTCCCTGAGCCATTCCAGCACTTTGGGACAGCCTCATCCATATGATGCCCAGGCACATCACCTATACCAAGGCTAAAATGCTCCATCAATCCAAAGCAACTTATATCAACTCATTGGAGTCAACCCAGTTTAGCTAACACAGAAATGGCTATAACTCAGTCAGTTCTACAAATAGTGAGCTAAGTTTTATTTTTATTTATATTCTTACTTTCTTACTTCTTATTCTTATATTTTTATTATATATTTGTATTATCCTAAATGTCAGTTTCTATGCTTTGTTGTCTTGTTTGAATTAATTTTTCTGATTTGTTGTTGCATCAAGTCAGGGTGATCCTAAGGGAAAAAAAATCAATCCCGTTGTGCACATTCTTTAGCATTTATTTCACCAAGGCACATGTTTCACATTGAGGCCAATCAGCGTGTGGAGGAGGCATCCTGATGTTACAGAAATAATTTAAACGTGATAGTACAATAACAGTGAATAAGAATAAAAACTGTATAAAAGTACAAAAGGAAAGGAGTCTTGCTCCACTGCAGCATAAAAATAAATAGTTCCACCAAGTTACTTAAATAAATAGTCAATACTGTAACAGATACTAGAATAGGAATGAATTAACAATTAAAGTGATAAAATCAGTAATCAACATTATATTGTAAAAAAACAACATAATACACAAAAAACAACATTGTATACAACAATTTACATTCTTGTACATTTAAGTACACCTGTACAGAACATAGCATCACAATACATAGTATTTTAAGGCTTTGGGTGTTTAACCAAAAATAAGAAACTTTTCTAGACCAAAGCTCAAGTTCAAAATCAGCCTTCTCACTTTTCCAAGAGGCTAATCGTATTAAGTTTGTGCAAAGAATCTAATCTGGACCATCAGTGCTCAGCAAGAGGGTGCATTCATACAAGTTTACCACAATGTTAAATTTGCCTCCTCATGCGGGACACAAGGAATCAGCATTGAATAAAGAAACTCTGTCTGTGGTAGATTATTCTCCTCTTACAGGTTACCATCCAAACATTTGAAAATAAATGCAAGTAATTTGATAAGGCATTGGCTGATAAATTATTAAATATTTAACCCTTGTTGGAAAGGAGTTTACCATCCTATGAATTGTTTAAGGGAGGGAAAACTTCTCCAGTCCCTCATGCTACATCTACTGGAAAAAAATATTGGCTGAAAAAAAAAAAACAAATACAAAAAATGAAATGTAAGTTTAATCAGTTTATAGAAAAATAATTATTCAAATGAAGGGCAAAGAAGTGCTACTGTTTCAATATTTTTTTTTTCTGTTTGGTTTTGTTATGTTTTCTTCTTGAAGATCATCGAGGAAACAAAAAAGACAAATAAAAAATGCTGGCAAATAAATTCACGTTAGTATGAAAATAAAGGTAAGAGAGACACATTACAAATTAAAATAAATATAATAAATAAATTACTAAATGTCAATAAATAAATAAATACATAAATAACAGTACTGAATGAACAAGACCTTTAGGAGGGAGATTGGAGAATTGTGAAATGATCGGAAAGTTTATTTTAACGGGATTCTTGATGGTCAAAACTTTGCTGCAGTGTGCCCCATCCTTACTGGCTCTCACAGAAAGACACCTTTTTTTCAACACGCATGCCACTGGCAGTAACATTTGGGCCTCTTAAGCGACTACAGTGCACATTGACATGGTCCTGTTTCCACTTTTTGACTAAGGCACAACTCCGTAGACTCCTGTTGGGCTCCGCACTGTGTGGATCATTGCACTGCAGAAGCTTTGGGCTTGAGGCTGAGGAACGCTCTATATGCCCAATCACAGAAGAGCTTGAAGTGTTGGAGAAGCTCATGGCTGGACTGCAGGACGTCAAAGTGAGAGGGGAGGTGAGGAGGCAGGGAAGGCGTAGCAGAAGTCAGCTTTGGTGCTTCAATTCTCTGCATCTTTGGAGAGAAATATGGAAAACATACTAAATTAGAAGAAAAAAAATCTATATTCCTATATAAAATTAAGTGACTGGCTTAGAGCCAGTTTAATGTTTTACATGAGATCCTATAGAAAAGCTATGAACAATTCATATTGCATTGTGGATAGCAGCTTGTCTAAAGCTGGAGATAATAGCTTGTCTGAGCTAGAGCTAGCAGCTTGTTCAAGCTGAAGCTAACGGCTTGTTCATGCGGGAGCTAGTTGGTTGTTTGAGCTGGAGCTAATAGTTTGTTCAATCAAGCAGGAGCTAACAGCTTGTTTGAACAGGGGCTAATAGCTTGTTTAAGCAGGAGCAAACAGTTCAAGCAGAAGCTGATTGTTAGTCAAAGCAGGACTAGCATCAAAGTGAAAAGCTATAGCATTTAAAATACTGAAATTTAAAAAATTTACATTGCTGTCAGTTTCACATTACATGTCTTGTGGTAGAAATATTATGATATTCCAGCCAGAAGTGCTACATTCTAACCTGCAGCTATCTGCTACTGCCAGTATTAGCGCTTACAAGTTGTCATCAAATTTTATGTAAATACTATTGTATTTTTGTGACTGGACTTGTTTTGGGAAGGCTGCAACTTTAAACATGTCGGCTTTTAATAGTCATTCCTTTTGTCAATTTGGTCACAATTAAACTTTTATTTCTCCGAGCTAGGATTGTTCAAAGAGTTATATTAAAACAGGTATTATATTTATTGTTCATAACCTGTTACAGTAGGTCACTTTAACAAACCCAACTTATCTAGAGAATCAAGTAGCCTTAAAGTTTTTACCTGACGATTCAGCAGACTGATGAGGGATTTCATTTCTTTGATCATCTCCATCAGTTTGGGTACAGCAGGGTGGTGGTGCTTCTTTGAAACCCGGTTCAGCCACTCAAAGTGATGCTCATACAGCTTCAGGTCAGCGTGTAGCTGCGAGAGTGTGGGTTTCAACTGGAAAACAGCACAGACATTCCTTAGAAACTTGGCATGTGTGTAGCAAAATGGAACTGGCAGACATGTGCGCACACCTATGTACAACACAAACACATTATCAGAGCATTACCTCAAGATTGGTGAGGTCATTGGCTGATCTGTTGCTCATTTCTGGCAGGGACCTAAACCTGTGGGACTCCACATCTGAGTCAAACGCATGCTCCTTCTGAAAGAGAAAAGCAGCCTGTTAAGTTATTTGCATCATAGCAATTTAACTCGTCCGGGTAAAAGTCACGACAACATGTGGAAAGTTTTAGTCTGGTCCCTCTGCTGGATCAGTGTTTTCTAGAGACGGTAGCTTTCACTGAAGGGAGTCTGGTTGATTGGGTCAGTGTGAGTTCACCCACTTTCAGCCTCCACAAACGTCAACAATAAGAGCAAATGACCTGAACCCACAGGATGTTTTCTACTGGGCGTTAGGATAACAACGTGCACCGTGACTAAGAAAGCTCCAAGTGGGACAGACAACACAAGGCTGCAGGGAAACTCCAGGGTCACGGCTATAAAAAGACAGAATGACGCAACACTGCTGTCCAGTTACTTGTGTTGTAAACTGTGATCAGATGACAGATGCTGTGCTCATTATGACCAGCAGAGGGAGATAAACCACCTGGCTGCAGGTGTTTGACTTTGTAAGCAGGCAGCTGTGCTCATCAGTACTATAAATTAGCATTAAAGATGTGGCCCTGATTCAGGAGAACAAATGGAAATGACTGATGTTGCATGACTCATTTTCAATCAGCAGAGGAGCACAACAACATTAGGTTGATGAGTGCTGAGAAATGTTTTGAATAAACAGGTTGAGTGTGCCTAATGCTTCCTTAACCTGCTATGATGTGTTTCCCCTTGCTCCAGTTGTTTGTGTTGATGTTTGTATCCATGAATGTGCGGCATTGTCTCACATGTCTCTCCATCAACCTTTTTTGGAAGAGCTTGCCTATGTTTTATCGGACAATGTTTTGTCTCTGCTGCGTTTTGTCCCCTTGTCCTTTACTTTCCTCCGCTTCTCTCTCTCTCTCTCTCTCTCTCTCTCTCTCTCTCTCTCTCTCTCTCTCTCTCTCTCTCT